TCAGAAGAATTTGAAAAAGAAATTGTGTTTTAAATCAATAAGAGTATAGCAGAGATCCACACAAACATAAACAAAAATTCTTCTACATTTGAGAACTATGTCATTTTCAACAGCAGAACAATCCTCCTGTTAATGTAACTACAAAAGTGTTAACGAAAAGAGAAAAAGGGGACGACATGCAGTTCAGTAGCAGAGGATCTGCCTTGCATGGAGGTCTCAAGTTCAATTCCCAGCATGTCCACCTAAAAGATCGCGTAGTGGATGATGTGACCATCCCTTACGAAGACCCCAGAGAGCCGCTGCCAGTTAGTAGAGACAATTCTGACCTTGATAGGTCGAATGGTTTGACTCAGTATATGGCAGTTTCATGCACTCACGTATTTTCAGTCAGACTCAAAGTGTGAAAACGCAACATCAGCTTTTCATTTAGTATGAGAAGGCTAGTGCTCTTCTGGCATGTCCCTGGGTTTGTATTAACTATCATTACTGTCAAACTAATAGCAAAGGAGAAAAGGCACGAAGAATCTGAACATGAGACAGAAGTGTGGAAAGGACAGGAAGTGTCATAAGGTAGTCCATTCCTGATTCGTATGCTAACATTAGTGATACCAGACATCTATTTCAGACAAGCATTAACCTGAGATGTGCACAGATCCAACCTGTTGCCAGGCATGTGTGCCTCACATCTCCCTCCTCTCATGCAAAATCCCAGTTAGCAAAAAACTCTGGTTGCCCATGACATACAAACCCAAGCAAGCCTGTTAATAGAAATTAATTTGCCCTGCCACCTCCTTATACAAAAACAGGATTCTAAATTGGAGTTTAATCCCGGCTCAGAACCTTGGGGGAGGGGGGGTGCAAATTCCTATTACTCACGCACCCATGTTCATGCATCACCAGTAACCAGAATTACTTTCTGCCCAGATTCTTCACATGGGGCAGTTGGCGCACAACCTAGATAATGGCAACAACAAGTGATGCCTGAACACAGGCTATGATTGCATCAACCCTTACAGACACATAGAAAACACAGTGAACAATTCCCATTCATTGTACTACAACATGAAAACAGCTGACATGACAAAACTAATCCAACAATGATTATTTATTTATTTATTTTATTTGGCTTCTGTCCCGCCCTCCCCGCCGCAGCAGGCTCAGGGCGGCTCACAACATTATTACTAATAAAACAATTTCTCAGTTAAAATTACAATAAATTAAATCTAAAAACAATACATAAAATGCTAGCAATGGCATACAACATGGCAGGAGTACACAATCAATTAGTGCATGGTCTGGGTCATTTCAGCAAGGCACAGGCTATTTAATTATGTTAATTATGTTAATGACATTATTGGTGTTATTAAGATATTGATGATATTGGGGCCAGGGCCTCAGATGGTTGCGGTGGCTCCTTAATCAAATGCCTGGTGGAAGAGCTAACTTCTAAAACAGGACCACTTTTCAGCATGAAAACCTGAAGCATTTTGAGATCTATTTTTTAATTAAAGGAGAACACATTTCTCCTCATGTATCCCATCAGCTCCATGGAAGGATACAAGGCTATAAATAAATATTCCTATACTGGAACAGTCTTACTATAGCAAAGCTACAACTGGCAAATGAAGGCTGCGGTCACACATAACAGAAGCCACACAAGTGAGACGGAAAACAGGCGGAGTTTCCGGGCGCGATCTCACCAGCACATCTGGGAAGCGTAGCACTCCTGTGGCTCAACCGAGGCTTCCAGCCGAAACTGCGTGGCAAAAAACTAGTACCTTGGAGGTACTAGTTTCCGGAAACTGCGGGGCAAGGGCGGGCGTCTGATCGCGTTTCCGGTGGCATCCGGCGCCCGCCCATGTCCCCTTGCAAATAAGGTGTGGTTTTTTTGTCCAAGTCTCTGTGGATGCGCATGCGCACCCAACGGAGCATGCGCATTTGTCATGTACACAAAAATAAAAAACAGTTTGCCGCGGTGCACGCTTCTTCGTTGCGCGCCGGCTTGTCCTGTGATCGGCACCTCTCCCCTGCCATGGAACCTCCACGGTACCTCCACAGGACCTCCACAGGAGGTCTGATCGCGTAACTGCGCAGTAGTTTGCCCCAGGGCAAACAGCCACGCTTCTCCTCTGCAGTTTCCTGCCCGTGTGACCGGGGCCGAAGCTCATCTTTGGGCCAAAGCATTTGTGGTGAATTCAGATTTTAGAACTACAGTTTACATCTAAGACACTCTTTAAGGTAAGTGGAGAAAAACAAGTAGGCTTACAAATCCATACTGTCAAGACTTGCTCTTCTACCGTCTCCCCAGAATACACATTAATTCCTACCTCTGCATTCAGATCCTGTAAGATATCTCCTAGCAAATCATCCTTGGACAGATCGACAGCTTTCTGTAAAATGAGACACCTGTGCTCAGTAAATGTTGAAAATTTTAGATCAATTGAAACTAACTTGCCCAATGTAAGCTAGTTTGTATTTTATTGTGCTTGCATTTTCTGAAAATACAGACAGTAATGAACCACCCCTCAAAAGACACATAGTTAGGCAAGCTATGTACCAATATCAATTTTCTCAAAATTCAGGAGATAACTTACATCAGTGTTCTTCTTCCCAGTACTAGCCATAAACATAGATTTAATCGTGTTTGGTTTTGATACCATGGCCTTTTTCACATTCTTTTTATCATTTGTGGAAGTTCTCTCTCCTCTTCCTACCAATATAATAATTGAGGCAGTTTAAATCATGCATCCTATTAAAAATTACAATAGTAATCAATATTTTATACACCAGTCCTACTTTAATGAAGCAACACAGCCCATACATAGTGGCTTTAAATTAGTACACACATGGAGCCACTTTTATGTAACAGCTCCTTTTCTGTGATATCTGGAGAGGTTAACAAGAAATAACTGTGATCATGCAGCACCTGGCACTCAGAATGCTGCAATGGCCTTTCAGTAGGAGCTCTTCACAGCCAGTCATTTTTAGCACTGGCTCATTTTTTTTAAAGGCTTCATTTGTAGTAACAGTGATCTTAGAGCACAGCTATACCTGATCACTACTGAAAGTTGGTGGCCAATTTTTAAACAGAAGCTACAAATGAACAGGGCAGCTAAAAACAGCAAACTGACATGGAACATTAACGTCTTCACAGAAACATGTGATGTGGCCCCAAAGCCCCCATTTCATGGCAAAAGTATCTGCCCTTAAAGAACTTAATTGCTGAGGACAGTTCCAGCACTAGGTGAATGTTCTGGTCATTATTTGCTTCACATATCATATATATTTTATTGTCTTGTTTCATGTCCAATGTACAGTTTATTCATCTTATATTGTATATAGATTAATACATACCAACGTTTGGAACTAATTTTGATCCTGTCTTTTTAGTTAATATTATTTTAATATTTTGTAATATTTTTATTAAGTGGTCCTTCTATTATTTGTATTACTTGTAGTAAATGTAAAATTATGTTTTTATAGATTCCCCCTGACAAAGCCTGCATGGTGAAATGCATAGGGACTTTGTACAATAATAAATCAGTCAACTATCACCTGGCATTTTTCCCCTTTTTGTTCTGTTGGCACATTGCTGTGTTCAACCCATTTTTTCTTTACCCTTGGATTATACAAAAATAGTCAGGCTTGGCTTTTTAACGGGCTGTCCATTCACCAATGTATTTGCAATTGTATGGGAAAATACATCCAAGTTATATAAATGGCTATCGAATTGTCAAAGATGAAGAAAAATTGGGCTACACCCAGCAATGTGCCTGCAGAACTAAAGGGGGGAAAATGCCAGGTGATAGGCGACGGTTTATTATCATACGAAGCCCCTACGCATTTCACCATGCAAGTTTTGTCAGGGGGATTAGAGAAATTCACCTAGTGCTGGACCTGTCTACAGTAAAAAGAATTTAATTGCTATGGACAAGTCAAGCACTAGATTAATTTTCCGATTCCCCTGATGAAGCCTGCATGGCGAAATGCACAGGGTTTTTGTATGATAATAAACCAGTCACCTATCACCTGGCATTTTTTCCTCTTTTGTTCTATTGAATTGTCACAAATATAGAATAGCCTTTTAGAAATTATAACCCTTGTAACAGGCCTGCTATTAGATCTCTCTTCAAATATACTTTCTAAAAATATTTTAAATCTACTTAATTTGATGATCTTCTATTTACATAAAGCATCACAAAATTCTTTGTGAAATTACTACAAGTTAACATTGAATACTAAATTCACGCATAATGTTTACCAAAACCATGCATTCTTTTATAAGTAAAATTGTCCTACATGCAAGGATGAATGAATGCATTTACTATTCTGGAGCATCAAGACTGATGATTATGCCATAACGAAGCACCACATCACCCCCAACAACATCTAAACTTATCACAGATTGCAAAGGGAATATAAGGCATACAATCTGTCACAGCAGCTTATTAAAACTGGCAAAAATCAAACCACTCAAATTATTAGAAACCATGAACAGAAACATTATAACCAACCCAAGAGCCACTCACTTAATACCAAAAGGCACTATCCTATCATGTCCAAGCCAAAAATACAGAAGCTCTGGAAAACCATGTCATGTCCACTGTTCCCTCTAAGGTGAGTTAGTGTGAGCTAGCTCACAGTTTTTTAGCTTCCAGCTCACACATTTTTCTCTTAGCTCAAGAAGGATGGCTCCAGAGCGAAGTAATTTATGTAGTAGCCAAATCGCTCACTCACAACTTTAATGCCAGTAGCTTACAAAGTAGGATTTTTGCTCACAAGACTACGCGGCTTAGAGGGAACACTGGTCATGTCCCCAATAACATGTTGGCTTCATGAATAAATATATAAATGTCCTTTTCCAAAGAATTGTTACATGTAATCTTGGGCATTGCCTCTCAGAACTTAAGCAAGTTAAGTTTTTGCTTTTAAAAGTTTACTTACTTTTCTTGTTGGAATCAAGAGCATCATCTTCTAAATCTTCATCAAAAATCTCCCTGCCATCTTCTACATAACCAATACCATCTGTGCAAAGGGACAAAAATATAATTTGCAAGGGATATTTCTAAGATCTTTTCACCTGAACTCAGTTCCAGATGCATCGCTTACATTTTTGACACTCTGCTCACAATAAATCCCACTAAAAACTAGCGACTATTTGTTTACAGTTTTGTCATGCCACTCCTCTAAGAAGCTCAGGGCAGTGTATCACGCTGACATAGACAGAGATTGGCACAGTGTGATCCTGTAAACTTTATAACTAAGTGCCAGTTTGAAACCTGCTCTCCAGCACTCTAATGCAACACTCGTACTCCTCCACTCAAATGGCACAAATTGTTAACCAGTTTAAATGGAAATATTCCCAAATGAGCTAATCATATACACCTGCTTTAGCTATAGCACTGCAAACAACAACTCATGCCTCGCAAGGACTAGGGGGAATGCTTATTCTCAGCAACAGCCATATTTCAGCATTTACTTTCAGAAAAACTATTTACAGGGTTCGGTCAGCTTCTCTTACATTCTAGTGGCCTTCTGTATGCACTGTTGTTCAAGAAATCCAGCAGTCATTTTGCCATCAGCAAACTTTGCAGTTCTTCCCATTGTCCTTTTAAGTATCTTTCTCCACTCCTCAGCACTTCCCATAGAGGCTGTTCTCTCCCATTCCACCTACAACTTTCACTTCAGGACAAAAGCTTTCCTGAAAACATTTCTTGCAAGCCTTTCTATTTTCACTGTGAAATCACCAATGCCAGTTCAGTTCCTGTAAACTGACCTGAATCTAATCAGTTTCATATTGCATTAATAAGCTGAAACTCTGATTCTGAAAAAAGCCAGGCACAAAATCCCATGACACATGAAAAGTAACAGATTAAATCTTCCCAGGTCACAAAGCAATTCTCACAAATCCTTTAAATTCACATAAGAAACTGTGTACACTCTAACCTCACAAAACACCAAGGCCGATTCCGCACTAATGCTTTGTCCCCCTTTCCCCCTGGGTCTAACTGGCCAGATTCTATGCGCGCTGTAATTATTCCTTGTTTTATGTGTGTGTATGTCTCTTTAAAAGTTTGGTTGCATGGCGGTGGTAAGTAGACTAGAGTGGTTGAGAGAAGCAAGTGTGGTATGGTGGTGGTTGACAGAGAGGGGGAGGGGTTTTGGAAGTGAGAATGAGTAGATATGTCTGTATGTCAGTCAGAGGTTACAGTTACAGTTTTGACAGTTGATAAGTTCAGTTAGTTCTGTGTGGGGAATGAGTTAGACAAGGAGTTAGTTCTGTGTATGAAGGAAGTTAGAAGCAGTCCTGTATGGTATCAGTTAGTTAAGTGAGAAGCAGAAGGAAGGCTGAGAGAATAGGAAAAATTAAATGAAAGCTGAATTGAAGACAAGTTATAGGAAAGGCTGTATGTCCTGGAGAGAAACAGTGAACTTATATGACCTTGAGTTAAAGTGTTACAAAGTTACCTGAAAGATCCCTGTCAGTAAGGGAGCATATTGTGTGTGATACACTAAGCAATGGTTCATTTATTACACATTACTAGATACCTTGTTCCACCCTTTTATTTATGAATTATTTCAATAAATCCTCTTTTATTCAAATATACCAGCTCTGAAAGAAATACTTCCTTAGGACCACATAGTTCCTCATAAGCCTTGTACTCGGTCTACCTAAATTGCCCCGAATCTAGAGCCCCCTCCCCTATTTTCTCCCTCCTTTTTTTTTTTTTGAATGGAGGCAGGGTTGCGTTGTAACGCACTGCCCATTGAAATGCCGATTGGTCCCTTTAGTTTTTGACCCTCGATGCCCGCGAAAAGCATCCATTGATGCAGCCGGGAAGTGTGTGTGTGTGGGGGGGGAATCAGTATACGAACATGAAAAAGAATGCTTAAACCTTTACACAAATGGTGAATTCCAAACAGAAATGAGAAAACAGCATACAGGCATGTAAAAGGATATTTAAACACTGGTTGACGATGACCCATTGTTGCGTCCAGTAACGATGGACTATTATTGCACTACAACGCAACACTGGAGGGAAAAAAGCACGCGTGCACCAAGTGGGGGGAGGGATGCAGCCAGGAAGTGGGGGAGGGGGCAGATGGGAAGACAATATACAAACATGAAAAAGAATGCTTAAACCTTTACACATGGCAAATTGCCAAACAGAAATGAGAAAATAGCATACGGACATGTAAAAGGACATTTAAATGTCGGTCAACGATGGCCCGTTGTTACATTGCAACGCAACATGGGGAGGGAAATTTAAAAACAATTCCTGCGCACACCGAAGGGAGGGGTTGCAGGCAGGCGGAAAGGAGAGGGGGGAGGGGGAGAGAGAAGCAGGAGGGCATTGAAGAGGTGTTGGTAGGCAGGAATGGGAGTGAAAGGGAGGGAAAGAAGCAAAGGGGCGTTAAAGGGGCAGAAAGGGGACAACCGTGAATCACAAGTTCCCCACTGGAATGCCCTGACTTCAACACTGCAGCAAAAAAAAAAAAGAACCTGAAAATAGTGGCAACAGAAAATCCAGGGGGAAACGCCATTAGATTCTGGTCAATTGCTGACCCGGACCAACATGTAGGGAACTGATCAATTTCCGCGGATGTTATCGGGGGGGGGGGGGGTGAACCCAGAGCAAGTGATTGTGCGGAATCGGCACAATTTCCCTGTACCACATCACAAGCAAAGTAAAGGAAGAACAAGTATCTTAGTGTTATTTTAAATTAAAACAGAAAATTAAATCTATTTCACAAACCATCATCCACAATCCAGTCATCATCCTGACGTTCCTTGACCATCTTGGAGTATTGTTCTTCATCAACTTCTTCATAAACACTTGTGAACTCTTCAATCTGCAATAAATTGGACAGTAACCACTGGTATACTACTTTTTCTTCAAATGGACCAAAGAATGCCCAAAATGTGCAGATATCCAAACATTATGTTCAGGGCCTCTATTTAAACAAAGGTATACTGACATGGGAAAACCCAGCACATCTAGTAAACCAGAAGACATAGGCTCCCCTCAGCTAAGAATGACGGATCTATTTACCTATAAGGTGGAATCCCATATCATTACATATACAAATTAAAAACAAGCCAAAACATTCCACTAGTTACCTCATATTTTATCTTTTCACCAGCCTTTGCCTTTCTCAAGCGTTCCAGTGCTTCCAGTCTCCCTGTTTTACATTTTTTCTCACGACGAGAACGGGAAGTTGTGAAATTTTGAGAATCAGCTGTTTCTGAAGGGAATATAAATTAATACAGGTTTAAAAGATTGTGGGAATATAGTTGTATATTAACATTTGTAGTGCAACCTTCAGCAGAATTATACATTTCTAAGAGCACTGACTTCAATGGAGTAAGAAGGGTCTAGCTCTGTTTAGAACTGCACTGTAAAAGGTCCTATGAAAAATAAAGATTTTAAATGTATGATTGGTTTAAGGTAGCATCCACCAATATTTTTTTTCTTACAAGAAAGCCATTAATATGAATAAAAACTACCGTAGCCTTTTTTTTAAATCACCACCTCACCAACAGGTGACTTTCCAAATATATAAAAAATATCCCTGAAATGATGTAACTATCTATCCAACTGTTATAAGATAATTTGAAACTAAGTTCCATAGTTACAGCATAGTGCCATATTTTAACAGCTAAATAACTTTTTTCTTTCTAACGCCAAGATGCAAAGAAAAAATACACAATTGTTATTACTAAACAGAAAATGATCAGCTGTCATGTACTCAAGCCTAAAAAATCATGCATAAACCAGAATCATGACTGAAATTACCACCACTCAAATGGTGTCAGACGCATCTAATCAAGTAATACCAGCTCTAGACCTGAGTTATACATTCAGACACTTATGTATACTGAAACTTAGGAACTGCATTTATTCAGGCCTGAACACAAGACAAACATTTCTTCTACCATACAAGACATACACTACTACCAAACTCTAGCTTAACAAAACTCTATATCCTAAGTATTGTACTGTTGCCTAGCACTACTTCTGCCAGACCATATACTAAAAATGCACTTCAACACAAACACAGCTGAGTGAAGGAGCAAACTCTGAATCTATTGACACCTTTAATACCAAAG